TCCATCAAGTATATTAGAATACACCTAGCACCTTCCCATTTGACAAGAAGAGTGGGGGATTAAATAATGGACATTTGCTGTTGAAGAGTGGTAGAAATCTATAAGCTCGATGCTTCAAAATCATGTATTTTGTTCATTAATACTGAACAAACAAAGTCTTGTTCTCTTTCTCAGCAGGGTAGACAGGTCAAGACCCATACACATAAAAGCTATAATTAAAGCTACAGTAAAACACAGCATGAATGATAAGAGTGTTCTCCTCTAGCAGAAGAGATTTTAGGAGTATACGCTCCTTCCTTTTGTTGAAAGTAAATTGAATTCGCTCATGAGTCCTAATCTCTTTTACAACAGATTAACATGTCACATAATTTATCCTGCTGTGAAGGCAAGAGGACAGACATAGCAAAAACAAGGTCAAGCATTATTTTAGCTGTGTTAAAAAAAGAGACTCTGATAACTGAAACTTTATATACGTATTAACACCCAACTCTCTTCCAGAGCTTATAAAAATTATTGGAGGTGTGTGGGTTGCAGCTCTCAAGAAATCTTCCAACCTGCATGACAAGTATCCACGCTGGCTGAAAGTTTCTGGGAGTTAAAATGTCAAGAAGTAACTTTTCCAAGTTCTGTTCTCCACAATATGGTTTTGCAGTACAAATGTATAAAACAGTCACAGCTGCAGTCACAGATTAAGATAATTTTAAGCATTAACTTATCCAAGTATTACTTCAATACATACAGCTAAGAAGGTGTCGTGCCATAAGCTATGGTCACCTATACTAAGAGCAAGGTAGGCAGACAGTCAGGAAGGTCCATCCTTTACTGTGATGGAAGTAGGGGGAGCAGGAAAGGGCCAGGTCTGTATTCTCAGAACACATAAGAATGTTTCAATCAAAAAGGCACTACATTTAGATCCACATCAGGATCTAAAAAGAAACTGTGAATTCACCACCCAATCAACATGCTATGAAAAGCATGGCATCTTTAGCTGAAATTACTACCATACAGGTTTAAATATTACTACTGCGTGGTGGCGCATGGGATGTGGTGGCGCTGCGGGCTAAACCGCAGAAGCCTGTGCTGCAGGGTCATAAGACCAGCAGTCGTAAGATCGAATCCACGTGATGGAGTGGGCTCCCGTCACTTTGTCCCAGCTCCTTGCCAACCTAGCAGTTCAAAAGCATGTAAATGTGAGTAGATAAATAGGTACCATCTCGGTGGGAAGGTAAAATGGCCCTCCCTAGTCACGCTGGCCACGTGACAACAGAAACTGTCTTCAGACAAGCGCTGCCTCCACGCCTTGAAAAACGGGATGAGCACCACCCCCTATAGTCAGACACGACTGGGCTAAAAATGTCAAGGGGAACCTTTACTACTACTACTACTAGTACTACTACTACTACTACTACTACTACTACCACCACCACCACCACCACTACCACCACTACTACTACTACTAATAATAATAATTTTCAGATTCAAACTGATAAGACTCCTTGAATATAACACACCATAGTAGTAACAGAACAAAGAAATGTCTGGATCATTGACATTGCAGTTCCACAGTATGCCAGAGTTGAAGATAAAGAATTTGAAAAATTAACAAAATACAGAGATCTGGCAATCAAAACATCTCACTTGTGGATGAAACACACTCTTCTGTAGTCCCCATAGTTGTCGGGGCTTTGGGAACAATATCAAGAAATGTCACACAGTAGTATGAGCAGTTGCACATCTCAGAAAAATCAGTTACAAAAAAATGGCAATATTAGCAAACAGAATACATACTGTGTTGATATTTAAAAGATACTTAGGTTTTTGATTAAAATTGGTATCTTATATAATACCAGTCAATGTTTTTATAGTTTTGATTGACTGTACCATTTTTAAATAATGGTGATTATGCTGATCCGTCAAGTCAATTATAATTTATAGTAACCCTTTTCAGAGTTTTCCAAGTAGAGAATACTCAGAAGTGGTTGACCATTCCCTTCTTCTGGGGAAATCCTGGGACTGTGCAGCCTGCGCAAGGCCATACAGGCTGATTCTCCACACAGGAGGCCCAGTGGGGAATCGGATTCCAAATTCTAGCTTCACACCCAGGTACCTAAACCTCTGAGGTATTCAAGTGTTCTCTGTGCAGGTCAGGGATTATTTGTTAGAAGCAACTGCATGCCCTTTACCTTTTTAAAATCAAGCATAATCTTTACATTATGTGACCCGCAGCAAGGAACATACTTGCTAAGTCCGGACCTTCTCCCACAATGAAAGTTAACTTCTCACATTTTCTGCCAGAAGTCACTGATGGTTAAAGGCCAAAACAGGGGCTATGTGAGTATAATTTCCTTCCCCTTTAAAAACAAGAAGTCGTCATAGAAAGACCTGAATGTCCTGAACATACCTGCAGGAACAGCAATTCTTTCCTGCCAGAAAGCATGCTTCAAGCTTTTTGCTTGGCCAGCTGAGTGGGGAATGGCTGAAAGCTATACTATTTCTCCCCACTGCCCCCTCATCAGTTACATCTGGAGCTCCCTAATGCTGCTTTTGGCATTATGTGGATTTAAAAGTTTAGAGAATTTCATGGAGAACAGGACTATCAAAAGCTATTTCCCATGACAGTTAAACAGAACATCACACATTTAGAGACACCATATATGGACCATTTGTCCATATAACGGTTGAAAGGTGATGTAAAGTGAGAAGGCTTTCTGCTGTAAAAACCTGTTGGCTTCCTGGAAGCATCTCTGGATAATGTTAGGATGCTACACTGGATCTGATCCTTATTTATTTTGTGACTCTTGTGTGTTTTTACATAATTTATTTATTTATTTATTTATTTGATTTATATCCCGCCCATCTGGTCTGGTCAACCACTCTGGGCGACATTAGACAGTGAAATCGGAAGCTTAAAAAACCCACCCTTTACAGCTGAGACTTTTGGAGCAACCTAATCCAAGATCAGCACATAAAAGAGGCTGTTTGCAATCTAAAAGACACGTTGCAACACAAACAGAAAAAGGGATGAATACAAGAAAGTTGATACCAACCTTTTCACATACAAAAAAATCCAGAGTTCTCAATGACTGGCTGGAAGGGGAGTGGTGGAGAGGATCCCATTGGAAGTGGCCTCTCAGCATTGTTGAACTCTCCGCCCACCTCTCTGCGTCAACTTCTTGTCTTTCTGGGAATGGCAGTAAAGAGCAGGGTATCTTACACTACACTGCATCATTTAGGCTCCACAACCTGTCGAACATGTGGGACTTTTCAGCATGCGGATTGCATTGACAATCCTTAGGAGTTAAGCAAAAACTGAAATGTCTGTGGCATAAATCCTATTGCTAGCCCCAATCACAGCAGGTCCACTATGTAAGACATGCCATTACTGCTGAACAGTAAGTCAACAATTTTAGTTTCTATGAACTTAACAGGCCTACCCTAGTTGGGACTATCAATTGGATTCATTGGGGGAGGGGGTGTGTTGGAGGATATATCTTGCATATTTTTCATGCACATACTGAAGTTCCGAGATTTTCCTATGAGACTTCTGAACTATTTAGGACCACCATACAGTGGGGTCTCTACTTAAGAACTGAATCTGTATTGGAAGGTGGTTCTCAAGTTGAAAAGTTCTTATATTGAATCTGCATTTCCCATAGGAATGCATTGAAAACCATTTAATCCATATCTGCTCTTTTCTGTCCATAGAAACTACAGTGGAACCTCTACTTAAGAACTTAATCCATTTTGGAATGGTGTTCTTAAGTTGAAACGTTCTTAAGTTGAAGCAAAATTTCCCATAGGAATGGACTGAAAACCAATTAATCCGTTCTGGCTGTTTTTTTGTTATGTAGAGGTGCGTTCGTACATTGAAGCATTAGTTCCCATAGGAACTAATGCAAAGCTGGTTAATACGTACTCTACCACTAGGGGGAGAATTTTTTTTAACCTAAGATGACCTAAGGTTAAAAAAAAAGCAGGAAAGGTTTTTTTCCTGTTCTTATCTTGGATTTCTGTTCTCAAGTAGAAGCAAAATCTAGGAAATGGAGCTGTTCTTAAGTTGGATTGTTCTTAAGTAGGGACGTTCTTAAGTAGAGACCCCGCTGTATATTTGACCTGCAAACTCGTATGCATACAGCTCCCACCTGAATGAGAGAGTAAGCAGCTGGAGGCGTACCATATTGCTTGAGCTACTGCACTATAAAGACTAATCTGCACAAACACTGTGTAAACACTGACACTGACATGCTGGAATGATTGTACAAATGCTAAATAACATAGAGGGATTCACCTGCCTAACATAGGTTTAAAGAGGTCACACTACCCTATATATAAATGCATAACACACACTCACTGTCTAAAGGACTGATTGACATGACTTTGTTTCAGGACTTCAGAAACAAACAAATATTAAAACACAAGAGTATTCAATTTAATTATAAAGAAATGACAACAGTAAGCCAACTTGCATTACATTCTCTCCACTTCAGACAAGTTACATTGTTCTCCAAAATGTTATATAAAGGCAAACTGCATGTTTTTTAAAAGGAATCAGTGTCCAGAACTATAGTGAAACAGTACATAGTCATTCAGAACTAAAAATGGTATCTTTTCATTGCCCATGAAATCTGTAGGCTTCTAGTGCCTTCTTTGCAAGCCCTTTTCGACACAGGCTGCACAAAAGCTTAGCCCCAGAGATGGGCGCAAGCTGAATCACAAACTGGAAAAACCAACAAATTGGGCTGGTTTCTGGTTTGGTTTGCCAGCCAGTTTGGGCATCACATTTTGCCAAAGCAAAACACAGCATCAAACCTTTTTTACCCTTGGCACTTCCGTTTCGTTTGGCAAAAGAGGGGTTCCCAGCCCCCACTTCCCTCTATCCCCATTGCCTTCCTGCCTAGTCCAGCTGCTGCCACCATACACAGAGACAGCAGGCCCCACTTTCTTTCCCAGAGCTGGGCCTGCTGCCTACCTGATACGCAGGCGAGAGCTGGGCCTGCTGCCTCTGTGCATGCACTGGCTGCCTACCTAATACGCAGGCACATGCTCCAAAGCAGTGGGCCCAGCTCCTGGCAAGGAAGCCGGGTTCATTATTTCTTATGATTGTGGTGGAATAGCAGTGGCAGCAGGACCACACGGGGTGGTGGTGATGGGGGCGGGCAGCAGAGTTGAAAACCGGAAGAGGCAGGTCCTGCCTCACACAAACCAGAAAAGCAAACCACAAACTCTTTCATTTTTCTGGGGGCGTTGTGGTTAGCCACGAACCATCACAAACCACTGGTTCTCCAGTTCATGCCCATCTCTACTCAGTTCTACTTTCCTTCAATGACTGCTCATTACAATATGCCCAAAGCAGGAGCCATTTTTGTTCCCTAAAATGATGTACCCAATCAGATTAGATTGACGTCTAATCTTAAATGTCATTTCTCCAGGCTTCAATTCCTTCACCTAAGTGGCAGGGATTTCAACATTCATTGCAAGAACAAAGACTATCGGAAGTGTAATAATGAGGCAGTGAAGTGCAGTTTTGTGTTCAAGACAGCATCTTTTTCTACATCCCGAAACATGCAAAAATTATTTGGCCAGTAGCTAAAATAAGCAAATAGCATACAAGCTCAACCCATTTACAATTTGAAAAAGAACAGTGTTGACAGTATTATCGTACGAACTGTTCAGTGGCCTCTTCTAAAAACTTTTTATATATATGTGTGTACCTGATGGTTAATAAGGCGAATTCAGTGATTCTAGCTGCACAACGTATCATGTTTTTGCATACGATTTCCCAGAGGCTTTGACCATGGTGCTTTGATTCTTTCAGTAGAATGTATACATACATATAGTGTTCCCTTCTAAGAACTACAGTGAAATGAGCAGTACAGAATAACCAAAGGAGTAGACTTGTTAAACTGTGAGTCTTATCCTCACATAATCCAGATCTGAAAACTGAAGATAAAGAAAACTAGACATGGAGAAGTGAACGTAATTGGCCTAGAGTTCAATTGCCTCTCCCACCCCATTCCCTCCACAGCAGAACTTGTGAAAATCAATTGAAGTGTATCCTTTCACCCAGGTGCCTGATCAACTGTGATCTTTAGGTAACAGCTGGCGAGAGAAAAAGATCTTTGAACTCATCTTCAGCAAGAGAGAGGCACTGCATTTTGTTTTGTTTGGAGCTGAGTTTAATTAAGGCTTCAGAACGATGCTGGTTGTAGCAACTTGAGCGGCTTCAGATTGCATGGAGAATCTTTTTAGCCTATTGCTTCACTGTTAGTCCTGTAGGCCTGCTTGCGCAGATGGGCCTCAATCTCCTCCCTGAATACCAGCATTCCCAGGTGAGAGTGAGATGCCTCATTCATGGCTTTAGACTGGATGCACATGCGATATTGCTCTGGAGTCAGTTCATCCGCACAATGCTTCTCATGCCAGAGGTGAAAGAGGCCAGGCACTGGGGTTCTGACCACAATGAGGTCACCATGCAAGTACTTCCGATAAAGATGAACATCCTCCCCACCCCAGCCTTTGACCTCCAAATCAAACCCACCTGCAAGAGAACAAAAAGAGAACTCAGAAATATTGTACTAACAAAGGGAATAAAGTTAGAGCAACAGTTTTCACAGAGAGAAGATGTGTTGTTTTCAATGCTCACGTGCCCTATATTGTGATTATAATCCTACCCAAAGGAAGATGCACCAATCACTGTTGGTGTATGTGTTCAAGAGAGAGAAAGTAAAGCAAATAAAAGAAAATAAAAGAGAAGAAAATTTTAACACACTGTGAATTCAAATAAAAAGATATTGCAATCTATAAATTAAGTTTAAAAATGAGTCCTTTGTCAGAAATGATGGAAGCCTACAGTACGAGACTCTAATTATCCAAGTGTCCTCAACATGTCACTTGAGGAGTCACTTTTTAACTGAGAGGAGGCTCCAGCAGCATAGACACTGTCATCTATTTTAGCTGAGAGCACTCACTGTTTCTCCTCACCTGTGAAAAAGTGAAATAAAACTATCATAAATACTCAAAACACTGAATATAGTCATTTTGTTTACCATTATTTAATACCTCAAACATAAGAAGGCGACTAAGGATTCTCATGTAAGTGAAAAGTTCAGAGGTAAAAGCTAACAGCACCAAATATTCCTTCCTTTCCTGTGGACAGATGTCATAATAGCTACATCAATTTGGATGTGGCAGTTCTAAATAATTAACTTGTGTTGCATCCAAACCAATCTTCTTCAACCAGTACATTCTTCTTCTTTCTGCATTTCTTGTCACATGAATGATAGATCCAAGAATACATAGCACTATGCAATGCGCATTCTCAAAAACAATTTTATGTTTCTGTTGTGTACTTCATTCTTCATGTTAACAAAGCTGCTTTCAGCCACCTCTATTCTGACCTTTATTGTACAGCTAAAATCCCATTGTCTATTCCATTAATTTCCTTTCGTTTTGTTTTTGAGAGCCATTCATAAATTTTTATTTTTAAATTTTATAAAAAGCACACACTACAACACAAAATAAACCAAGATACAAATCAATTGTGTTCTCCACCACCCTACTCCACTAATTTCCAAGAATCTTATATATTCCAACATACACTGCCCCTTCATTTCAGATATTTAACTCAATTACTTGGCTACTTCAATTTTACTGATTAATGTTCATTTTTAGACTACGTTCATTGCTTACTTCATGGACCTTACTGAATGACCTCTGCACACCTTCTAAATTCTTAACCACTAATTACATAATCTGCATATTAGATATGGCTGATAAGCTCTCCACTGATTATGACAGTCATCTGAAGTGCAAGTGTTTCTCTGAAGACATTTTCAGAGTACACACTGAAAAACAGCAGAGAGAGCATACATCTTTGTTATACTTCTTCTCATAGTTCCATGGCTTCTGATGTTCACCTGCAGCTGCAAGATTTTGTTGCCAGTACACATTGCCAATTATATGAGTATCTTCTGAATCAGGACTTTTGTTTACCAAAAATTCCATTGGCTCATCACACTGAAGTGTGGCAAAAGCTTTCTTGTACTGAATAAAGTAAGTGTACCTATCCACATCCCTCTAACAGCCCCTTCTCCTATCAGTTTTAATACCCCATGAAAACATTACAGAGTCCAGGAGCACTAACATTTTTTAGCCATACTTTGGATTTTTATATGTACAATCTAATATCAACATAATAAGTTCTGTTGGCTTGTTATTTTGAAATAACTCTTTAATGCAATCACTCTACAGAGTGTTTTTATTCTTTACGAGAAGTATCACACAGTTACTGGCACTTATCAGTAGTAGCCATTGCTTTTTAAATATGCCTCCTACCTCCTTGATATTTTCATGCACATTTGAAGTTATGAACCGTCTCTAGATTTTCTATTTCTATACAGGGCCACTGTTTTTTCTTGGACTTCCCTGATGTTGTTTCAAAGTTCTTCTGCAATTCTATAAATATGACATGCCGTATTTGCCGGCGTATAAGGCGACTGGGTGTATAAGACCCCCCAACATTTCCACTCAAAATGTAGAGTTTGTTAAATACTTGCCATATAAGACTACCCCCTCTTCCGCATGCGTGATTCTGCTTTGGTTGCATCATGGGGAGAGTTCGTGTTGCCACTTTTGGTTCCTTTCGCTGGGAGAGAGCGAGGGTTTGCTGGAAGAAGGACAGCATCAGCGCCGAACAGCTGTCAGGAACCAGCAGAGATGTGGCAGCCATTTTGGAGAGGCACCAGCCATTTTGAGAGGCAGCAGCCATGTGGGCGCATCTCAAAATGGCTGCCGCCTCTCTGCTGGTTCCCGACAGTCAGCTGTTTGGCGCTAGAGTCAGGCTGTTCCCAGGCTACCAAGGAGGAGCTTGGTCTACTCGGTCTTACTACCAGCTAAGGGACTTTGCTGGGAGAGAGGGAGGGTTTGCTGGAAGTGCACCTGGCATATAAGACGACCCTCCCACTTGGAGGCATGTTCATCAGGGCCAAAAAGTTGTCTTGTACGCCGGCAAATACGGTAGTCTTTATTTTTCCATTTCCATCTTTCTTCTATTAGCGCTAATACTTCTTCTACCATCTACTTTTCAAATTTACATTGCTACTTTTGAAGTTAATGTTGGTCACACCTACCAATGCTTTAATTAATTTAGGACAAATAAAATTTATATTTGAGAACATAGTCTTATTGATAGCTTCAAGAATCACCCTGGCTGCTTAACAAACAGATTACCTAGTTTTTAAATTTCTGCTCTCTTTTTGGTTTTACAGTGGCGCCTCGACTTAAGACCATCCCAACTTACAACCAGCGGTGGCCGCAAAATTTTGCTTCAACTTGCAACCAGAGCTTTGAGTTACAACAGGAAAAAAAGGTGGGGGGAAAGGTGGGGAATTCAAATGTATTAACTGTTGGTTGGCGAAAAGGCTGCTTCTTTCTAGCTCTTTCACCCCAACGGTTAGAGTGAGTGCCTCAGAGGAGCCTTGGGACTGCCTGGTGCTGCTTTCTGCTTCTGACTAAGTACATTTAAAGGGTTTTGCAGAGTGGGTTTGGGCTGAGGGGGGTTATGTTTCTGTGCTGTGATTTTTTTGGTGTGTTTGGTGGTTTTTTATTTTTGTTTTTGCCCCAGCGCCTTCCAATGGGGCTTGCTCTGTTATTTTGTTTTGGATTTTTTGTGATTTTTTTTCTGGCCCTGGCGCATTCCGATGGGGCGTGCAGTGGGATTTCTTTGGGTTTTTTTGTGTGTGGTTGTTGGTGTGTTTTTTTATAATTTTTTCCCTAGCCGGAATGGATTAATCACGTTCCAATGCATTCCTATGGGAAATTGTGTTTTGACTTACGACCTTTTCGAGTTATGACCATCATTCCGGAACAGATTAAGGTCGTAAGTTGAGGCACCACAGTACTATTTTATATTTAATTTCCGGCAAGCTACAATCATGACACAAATATCCAAATTTAACCTGGGGTTAATTTTCATTTGCCATATTTGCCAGCGTATAAGATGACTGGGAGTATAAGATGACCCTCCCAACATTTCCACTCAAAATATAGTTTGTTATATACTCGCCGTATAAGACTACCCCCTCTTCTGCACACCTTCCACACACCAAATAAAAGGTGCTATTCACTGTCACCATCGTACGGCCGCAGTGCGGCCGCAGCACCTCCAGCCTGCCCCTGCATCTCCCTGTGACTGGCACTAGTGCACAAGTGAGCATGTGTGAGCTCTGCGTAGACAAGGGGCGGGCCGGAGCGCCGCTGCTTCCCGCCGAGCAGAACGGGTCGGTCACGTTGAAAAGGCTGGCACCCGTTTCACTGCTGATGCTCGCCGTGGCCACGCTGGATACTGCGCGATGCTGGACGGTATGTAGAATGAGGTGGGCAGGCATTGGGAGGCTACTATGGGCACCGGGCGAGCATCGGAAGGCCACTATGGGCAGCTATGTCTATCCCAACTGAAGTGCACCTGGCGTATAAGACAACGCCCCCACATGGAGGCATGTTTTTCAGGGCAAAAAAGTAGTCTTATATGCCAGCAAATACAGTAGTTAATGCAGTTTCAGTACCTGTGATATGATATAATCTATTTAATTCCTAACAATACTAGTCAGTGCTGTCCTGTAGAGATTTGTATGCATACAATCTCATTGGTAGTAATTTAAATCTCATATTGGTAATTACAAGTTCTTCATCACAAAATTCCATTATTTATTCTCCATGTTTGTTCCCTGTGTTCCTAGTCTGTTTTGGGTTTTTCCCCCCCTTTGTCTTACCCAGAAAATCACCATAGACTCCTTTCACTATCATAGTATTAAAATCCTGTTATGAAATTTAGATGTTGCTTTTTCCTATGTTGTAAGACAGCTGTGAGTTCTTCACTGCATTTTCCCAGGCTTTCTTCATTATTTATAGCAGTGGGGGCATGTAATTGCACAATAGTTATGTCTGTGTGATTTCCTTTTAGCATCATCCAGTTTTGAGTATGGAACAAAGCTGGTTAGCAGCTACACCTATATTTATTGTTACTACAATTGCAACTTCCAACAGTGCTGTTCATCATTACTGCTCAAATAAAACACAGCATGCCCAGTAGTCATCTGTAATTTGCCAGATCCTGGCCAACCAACTTCACTTGTTCCATAGTCATCCTTTTAAGTTCTTCTACTATACTGTGTATTTACTGTGCTACATGCACAATTCATACATTCCAAATCTCTATCCAGAGATTTCTGGCACCTCTTGCCTTCTGAAAGAAGCTAGGAATTAAGTGACTTTAAAATTTCTGCCTAGCTACGGCAATCATACTTGGAAGTTACAATGGTATAGTCTTACATTGCTTTTCATATCTCAGTGCTACCTTTATGCCCACTGTTTTCCATAAGAAAACCTGGTTGACATCTTTCATCTTTGATGCAAGCATTAATGTCACCCATGGTCAGGTGGGGGTTAGAGGAGATTTAGTTCCCCAAGATTCCATTGGCCTCCTGGTCAAGATCCTCCCACCCAAGGCACTAGCTTTTCCAGTGATTTGTTTAATTAATAACCCCTGCCAAAACCACAGTGAGATTGAGGTATTTGGCAGTGCGCTATTCATCAAAGTCAACTTTCTCTTTAAAAAGCACCAATTAGAAGCTCTGCAAAAGGCTTTTCACACAGATGCCATCTTAAAAGGGAAACACACAAACATTTCACTGGCAATGACTAAATTCTATTCCTGAAGGAAAAAATGTTATTTCTGGAAAAACTTCATGCATGTATACACAGCAGTTTCCCCAGAGAGGACACATAGAGGCTGAAGTCCTGCCCAGTCTCCACATGCATGTAACAGGAAAACAAGAGTGTGCATACCCATTCAAATATTTCTTCTACTCCCATGTCCCACCAGCAGTTAAGGACAACTGGCATCAGCCCCTGCAATTTCAGTCAGAAAACCTAACTGTCGCAGGACCAAAAAAATCATTTTTAAATCAAATACAGTGGTGCCTCACACAACGATGTTAATTGGTTCCAAAAAAATCAACGTTGTGTGAAACATTGTTCTGTGAGACACCATTTCCCATAGGAATGCATTGAAAACCGGTTAATCCGTTCCAATTGGAACGGATTGCCATCACTGAGTGAAAATCCCCATAGGAAACATCGCTGTGTGAAACAATGTTTCCTCCATTGGAATGTATTGAAGCCGACTCAATACATTTCAATGGCTTTGCAAAGTCCTTTTTCGCTCCTGTAAAAGTGTCTTACAATGTTTGGAAGCCGTTTTAAATGCTTGCAATGGTTAGCCCACCTCCTGAAACCTATGCAAACTGATTTTGGTGTTGTTCTGACACTTCGTTAATTTATGGTAATTTTTTGTTTTCTCCATTGAAAACCATTGAATGGTCTGTCTAATGGTTTCCAATGGAGAAAACAAAAAATCATCATAAATTAACGAAGTGTCAGAACAACACCAAAATCAGTTTGCATAGGGTTCAGGAGGTGGGCTAACCAGTGCAAGCATTTAAAACAGCTTCCAAACATTGTAAGACACTTTTACAGGAGCAAAAAGGGAGATCGGGAAGAGCTTTAAAAGGCAAACGGAGATCAAAGAGCCCTTTCCCGTATCTGCATATAACTACATATGTCTGAATGATGAACATAAAACACGGGGAAAATAAAGGGCTCTGACCTGGGATTTGTGGGGAGGGGGCAGGGATAAACTCAGTGCCATCTACTACTGCCTGACCACCAGTGTACTGGCAAAGCTCCTACCAGTTTCCTTCATTCCTTCCCAATCGCCGGCTAGGAGCCATGCAATTTAGATAGCTGCTTTATCTTATTCCTAATGCTACTGTGACCTACCCCACTCAAATCCTGAATGAATTTCACACACACAGGGACTCAACTGATTGTAGATCTCATCCCAATCTCAAAAGAAAAGAAGAAATCTTACATTTCTCTCCAACTGCTGAATATGAAAGTCATGAAAATGTCTCTACTTTGAATGTGCTGCCCTCGCAAGATGGCTGCTGATCACATGGACAGACCAATTCCTTCCCAGGAATTCAGTGATTGCCATTTCCAGGAGAGCCAGGGTTTTTCATTGATTGGCACCTGAGCTATGGGTTTCTTTCCGCTCTGACTTTCCTGGTATTGGTATTCTATTACTTCTGTTTTCATAGGTGAGAGGGTTTTAAAACAGATCTTAGCCTTTTTAACAGCTGAAGTTCTAAAATAATATTATGTGCTTTGAAAAGGCCTGCACTGATTTGATCCATTTCTGATTTCAGAAAGGGACAAATATTCCTGCTTTGATTCAGAATCCAAATACATTTTTAAGCCAAAGCACATTCTTACTTTACAATATTGTACAGGAACTCAAAGGGGGCCATGATTACAAAATTCAGTTCAGCCACAAGGGGGGGATAACACATACATAAAATTTTGGTACATATATACAGCCATATATATACATATACTAAAATATGTATACACATGTTTATGTATATAAAAGTGCTGAAAAAGACAGAAATGATAAAAGAAGTAGGTGTGGATAACCCATTGGTGCCCCCCCCAAACCTGAAAAAATGGAATGTGAATATGTAGTGTAGGTGACTAGGACAGAAGGTCCTTTTGGGGGAAAAAGCTACATTAGTACATTGCTTTTCCACATGAAACATTTTCCCTGAAGAAATGCCAATCTCACTGGTGTGCCTGAGCAGAAATTCCACTGGAAAGCAAAACATCCCTATCAACGTCAATTAATAAAACAGATGGTATGTTACACAGTCCTAGACAGATTTATTCATCTTACCAATAGACAAGAAATCTGTTCGATACTGGCAAGTCATCCCAAAGCCGAAATCTCGCCAGAAACCAGAATCCTTTTTGTGTACCTATAATTATAAACATATGCATACTTTAGACTTTTTCAGGTGTCTCTCAAGAATGAGCAACAAAGCTGCACCTGAAGCAAATTAGACTGTTAGGCAACTACACATTCAAACATACAGTCCACACTAACCAGCCCTCTCATTTGACTTCAGACTGAAATGTCTCAGAATTTGTCCCTCAGAGTGCAAAGTGCCAAACATATAACACTGAGGGCAGGATTACAAATGACAACTGAGACAGAACTGTTGCAAAAAATGGCAATCACACACACAGCACCTTCTCTACTCCTCCATAATATGGAGAAATACAGAAATTGATTACAACATATGTTTTGAATAGTTTTCCAGTGGGAATTCCACTTGGGCATGTTTTTCATCTGGATTTGGTAAAATAATGGCAATGGGCTGAACCATTACAGTAAAATATACAAAATAATCTCAGATGTCAGTATGTTTGGAATATAATCCTGGCAGAAAAATCAGCTATAACAGTGAATGTGCTCAACAAATTGGAAGTGAAAATGATGACTTCTTACTACCTTGATTCACTCTGTGGAGCATATTCACAAAGACGGGGATAAACTTTAATTAGTAATAAATAAGTAATCTAAAAACAAATTGACTATTAAAACAAAAAACTGAGTACTGAACTTGTCTTTTTATCATGGTATCTTCTTAACAATACAATTACAAATGCTCAGTTGTCTGAACGGAAGATACAACTTTTTATTGTTATTTTGCATGTTGCTGTTATATTACTGGCAGGCCTCATATACCGTATTTTTCGCTCCACAAGACGCACCTTTCCATAAGACGCACCAATTTTTTAGGAGAAGAAAACAGGAAAATATAATCTGTTTTCTTCGCTCCATAAGACGCACAGACTTTCCACCCCCGTTTTGTGGGGAAAAAAGTGTGTCTTATGGTGCGAAAAATACGGTATGTCATGCAGTCAGGTCTGGAAATAAGTGGACACTGACACAATTTTCATAATTCTGGCTCTGTACACTACCACAATGGATATGAAATGAAACAATTGAGATGCAATTGAAGTGGAGACTTTCATCCTTAATTCAAGCGGTGGTACAAAAATACATACACAGTCCCCTTATTTCAAGAGCTCAAAAATAATTGGACAATCAAATAAAATGTTCATTTTTAGCACTTTGTCGAGAATCCTTTGGTTTAAGTTTGGAACGCATGGACATCACCAAGCATTGGGTTTCTTCCTTTGTGTTGCTTTGCCAGGTCTTTACTGCAGCTGTAAAGTGAAGTGCCATCCAATCAACTTCACTGCATTTAGTTAAATCATGAGCCATTCTAACCCTTCTCCATACTTTTTTCTTCCCATCGTTCTGGTACAGGTTGATCTTAGTTTCATCCATCCAAAGAATGCTGTTCCAGAACTGGCTGGCTTTTAAAGATATTTTTTCTTTACCATGGAAAGGATCCTACAATCATTCACCACTGTTGTCTTCTATAGATGTCCAAGGTCTTTTTGTGTCAGAGTTCAGCAGTGCGTTCTTTTTTCTTTTTTTTCAAAGGTACTAAGTTGTTGATTTGGCTACTCCTAGTGTTCCTGCTATCTCTCTGATAAGTTTTTCTTTTGTTCTGGAAGCCTAAAGATGGCCTGTTCCACTTCCACGGAGAGCTCCTTTGTTGTAGGTTCACAGCAACAGCTTCCAAATGCAAATGCCACACCTGGAATCAACTTCAGACCTTTTACCTGCTTAACTGATGATGTAATAATGAAGGAATAGCCCACACCTGTCCATGAAACAGCTTTTGAGTCAATTGTCCAATTAATTTTGGTCCCTTGAAAAATAGGGGGCTACATATTAAAGAGCTGTCATTCCTAAACCCTTCCTCCAATTTGGATGTGAATACCCTCAAATTAAAGTTGAGAGATCGCACTTTAAGCCTATATTCATTATTTAACTGCAATTTGGATTTATCTTGGTAAACAGACAAAATAACAAAACGTGTGTCAGTGACCAATTATTTCTGTACCTAACTGTACATCAGTGAGTGTAGCTACATACATACAAGAAATCTGTTATCATTAACTTCAAATAGGCATGGAACAGAGTTCATCTTTGATCACTCTAGCAATGCTTCTAAAATAAATAAATAAATCCAAAACAGCTCAGCAAGATGCTGGGATTAACAAACACTTCGGGGTTATCATTCATAATTACTGAATGGCCTCTCATCTCTACTAAAATGTCTGTGACAAATTCTACAGGGATCATGAAGGAGATATCCAACAGGGATTAGCAGTGCTTCATCTCCAAAGATGTTCCAGCAAACAGTGCACTCAACTGGCCTTGTTAATACAGAGAGCAGCATTTTTAAGCTTCTTTTAAAACCTGGTCACTTACCAACTGCTGTTCCACAGGGGGTGGCACATCTTGATTAGCATAGACAATGGCAGGATTATAAAGGCTGAATACTACAGGATAGAAAACTTTCTTGCCTATAAAGACAGGAAATAGTTGTTACTCTTTGTGGGATATCTTCGAACAGACAAGAGTCAGGTGCATATCTCCCTTTTTTTTCTTTAAAAAAGGCAGCAATCCATTTAGAAAAAATGAACCAAAAGCAGGCTTGCTTCTTCTGGCTTCCACTCAGGCAACCCATTCTATGCAATAGCATCAGCATGGTACTAGAAGAGGAGGGGAACACCAAGTACTGAAACATGTCTTTTTAGGTACCATGGTTTAGGAATCTTGCTGTGGAACCAGAGGTTGGGAGTTCAATTCCCCACTGAGCCTCCTGGGAGGACAGTCAACCTATGTGGCCTAGGGCAAGCAGCAGAGTCCCAGGGTGCCCTCAGAAGAAGGGACTGGACTGGTAAACCACTTCTGAGTACAGTAGTGCCTCACTTGACGATAATCCATTCCAGCAAAACCGCTGTACAACGAAATCGTTGTCAAGCGAAAGTAAAAAACCCATTAGAATGCATTAAAAACTGGTTAATGCGTTCTAATGGGCGAAATACCTCATTGTCCAGCGAAGATCCTCCATAGAGCGGCCATTTTCTGGTGCCTGTGAAGCGACAAATCCGTCCCAAACACAGCGGGGAGCCATTATGCACAGCGGGCGGCCATTTTGAAACCCGACCATCAGCTGTTTTTAGATCGTCCTAATGCGAAGGATTGGTTACTGAAATAGGGAACCGATCATCGTGAAGCGAAAATTGCCCTTTGAAACATCGTTTTGCGATCGCAAAAGAGATCGCAAAAACCCCATCTTAAAGCGGATTCGTCGTGGAGCGGGGTAATCATCAAGCGGGGCACCGCTGTACTCTCTACCTGGAAAACCCTGAAAAGGGTTGCCAAGAATTGAATTGAGAGAACCTGATGATGATGATGATTTTACCAAACATGATAATCAGAGGCAATTGGGTCCAAGAAGCACCCTTGGTTATAGTATTATATGACATGCTTAAAAAAACCTGTTCCACAGAGGCAGGCTATTAATTCGCGGCCCAATCTAGATCACAGAGATTCTGTGAGAATGGAACTGTGGCAGGAGAAAACACAACAAAACCAACTACTCCCTCATTAAAATTCAATAGTGGCTATCAATAGTTCGATAACTGTTTTCAACATAACTCTGTGAGACATGAAAGCACATTTTATTTCTGATGACAAATCCAGCAATTTGTGACAAGTCAGTACTTTCTTTCATCTATACAAAATCAGGGCAACAATTTATCCATCCTGTCCACAAATAAAAAAAACAACAACAAATTTGGTTAGTGTTTTTATTAGACCACCAAAATATCAGTTTTAAAACAAGTTTTTGAGTTTGCCTGAAAAGTCCTAAAGGACTTGAAACCCTAACCCTTTTAATGATATTCCGCTGGCTTGAGGAAAATATTACCTAGGGATAGGATATAATTTCAGTACACGCTACCCTCTACCTCTGCCATACTCAAGTGTCTGGTCTTGAGCAGGTAATTTGTCTCTCACATGCCCCAGCGCAATCTCTGCAGTAGTGGCAGCCCAAATGCCCCAGGGAATTGGCACATAGAGCAGATTAACCTCTAGCATCAGTCGTGTGCATCTCCACATGGGAGGTCCTGCTCAGCTGTCATGGATGCCAGCAGGGCCAGAGCCGATATAAGGAGCAAGGAACTGCTTGCATCAAGGGGAAAGAGTTGGTGGAATCTCCTTTTTTCTTTTTTTCCCCTTTGAAGTACCGGCTACTCTGGCTGCCTACCTGGCTCAGCATTCAAACGGCAGCTATTTAGGAACTCAGCTGTAAAATAAATATCAACATCACAGAAGAACATCAAGACTTCGCCCTTCTCCCAGGCTCGGGCTCCCACATCGAGTCCTCGGCCACGATTGAATTCCTCGTTCAAAGAAACGAGAGTGTAATTGTGGAAGTTAACTTCTCTACAACAGGAAGAAGAGAGAAGGAGAAGAGGGGCATTAGGTTTTCAGTTCATAACATTCCAGCTTGGTAGAATGTGTGTTGCAAGCATATGCACAATCTGAACCTAATATCTCTTATGGAGGGGTTTTGCCATTATAGAGGCTGCATTTTGGAAATGCTCTAAACCAGATTCAGTCTGATGGAGAAGGAACCAGGTGCCAAAGAAAGTTTGCACTGAAACCACTCAGGATAGACTGTCAACATGCTGGTGGCAGCTCGGCTCTTTCTTTAAGATGCTACATTGGATTTACTGGTTTATGCCAATCCAAGCTGCACAAAATTACACAAGTGAACTATTTAGGTTCAGCATGCTGATGGGAGTTCATTTTTCTTCCAGACTGAGTGTTTTAAGAGAAACAACAGAACACTGCTCACCATTAAATTCTGGACTAATACAAGGAACGTTAGTGACATTCCCTCTCAACTTCTTCCAGTATTTATTATTCTCCTCTTTTTTTGTATTTAAAGACTTTCACCAGTGAGACACATATTCAAGTTGAACAGGAAAATGCCAATTTACATACATCACTGTAGGCATCTTTTAAGGAAAACTCAAAAGCTGCATTAAGTGCATCAAGAACTGAATGAAGGAATGACATCCTCAGAGACGCTTAATGCACACACAACCATTTCTCCCTAAAACATGATTGGAACCATGCAGATGAGTACCCCATGTCAACTACTTAAAATCTAGTATCCAGGCCACCATATCCTCACTGTGAAATGCTTTCCCCAGGAAGCCCTGCCTGGTTTCATTACTGTTGGTGTTTCATCACTGGGTAACAACACAGCTTTCGTGGAAAGCTTTGAATGATGGTTAACTGCCATCATTAACTGTGATGGCAGTTAACTGTGGAACAACCTGCCCATTGAGACCCACCTGGCACCCTCGCTGGATGGGTTCAAGCGAGCATTGAAGACTTGGCTCTTCTGCCAGGCTTTCCCTGAGTATTAGGGTTTTTTGAGATCTCAGCCTCCCTTTTACCATCCTTTTTGCCATCCTTTTCATCATCCTTTTTACCACCTGTTTTAATGCATCCTACTGGTTATTATATTTGTTGAATGTATGTATTATTTTATTTTTTATCCTGTTTTGATATTGTACTGTTTATCTTGTTGTTAGCTGCCCAGAGTGGCCTGGTTGCCAGATGGTGCAGGGTATAAATCCAATAAATAAATAAATAAATAAACAATTTTTCTTTTTCTTTTTTGCACCATTGTCCAAACCAATTCCATTTTGCTGGTTGTTGTTGTTTTTTTTTTTAAATGAGATTCTACTTAATCTAATTTCATATTACTTTTGTATGGTTTTCAGCCTTCAGCTTCCTCATAAGAGAAAGGTAGAGTATACATAAACATTTTTAGAATAAAATAAATAAAAATAAAATAAATACAGTAAAATAGACCTTAGTTACATGCTCGATAAAAGCATGTAAGTGGTAACATTTGATAAGTTATTGCCTGTCTCACTCAGTGGGAATCCAAACCTAAGAAAAACATCCCAACATTATGTATGAATGGTATCCTTTTATTTTTACCAGATCATTATGCCTATACTTTATCAACTCACCGAGCTACTGATTCTAAGATGCTCTTGACTTCTGAAAGCCCTTCATGCCCAAAATATACTACAGTGAGATGAATCCGCTTGTCCTGATTAATGCATACCTCCCTGGAAGAGTAAAACAACAGGACCTGATTACTGCAATTCCTCAGCATGTCTCTCAACCAAGAGTTTTGCATTTACAGTAGAACCCCACTATCTGTGGGATCAGTGTCTGCTGATTTATCTGGTGCCTGAAATACTAAATAAAAATACCTCAGAAATGTGTATTTATATGTATTTCCATGGTGTTTTTACCAGAACTGGCCAGTAGAGGGAGCAAGAGACCATGTAAATTACAACGTTCTGTGTTGTTCAGCATGGGGGGACTTGGAACCAATCCCCCACAGATACTATAGTTCTACTGTAAAAGTAGCAAATATCAGACAAGATAAATGTGTACTGTTTAGAAATACATGCACCTCTTGCAACCTAGAATCAATTTGAATAATTAACCAGTTATTTTTACTAGATTTAATTACAATACAAAGAACTCCAACCCTCAATTTGTCCAATTTTTTTGTCCATCACTGTCCCTTGAGACAGTTCAAACTACTGTCTTGATCAATGAGATTATATTTTAGATATCAATGGCTTTTTGGCTAAGATCAAGTGTAGTATCTGAGATTTGAATTGCATCTTATACAGTGATGCCTCGCTTAATGAGCGCACCGTTTAATGACGAATTTGCATAGCGATCTATTTTTTTAGATCGCTAATGCAATCGCATTGCGATGTTCTGAACAGGCAAAACATAGCATTGTGATGATCGGTAAGCGTTTCGCTTACCGATCTTCGCATTGTGATGTTTTTTTAAACAGCTGATCGGTGGTTCCAAAATGGCCGCCGGGTGCCAAAATTGCCGCCACAAGTGTTTTCGCGCCCTGCCCTCGCTTACCGAGGGCGCAAAAATGGCGGCGCTATGGAGGAACATCGCTGAACGGTGAGTTTGGGAGCCATAGGAGCACATTAAACCAAGTTTAATGCGTTCCTATGGCTTTTTCCGTTCCGTTTAGCGATGTTTCTGCATAGCTACGATTAATCCGGAACGGATTAACGTCGCTATGCGGGGCACCACTGTACATTTTTTTTTAGCTGACAAGAAGATCCTCCAAATAAGTTGGAAATGTCAGTATGCTATTAGATTATTATGTATGAGATGTTTAGCTGGGGTAATTGCTTCATTAAAAGATTCATTGTATCTTTTGGAAGAAGCCCACACCAGCTGACGCAGGACCTAATATCTGATGCACTTACCTGAAATTTTGCATGAACTGTGCAAACACTTCCGTTCTTCCAGCAAGGGGAACAATAATATTTATTATTGACCTGGAGATGTCAACAGTTTCACTCTTCACTTTCATCAAGGGTCCAAATGGACGAAACAGTGTGACATGCCTGTATTCCATATCCTCCGCCTTCTTGTAGAACAATTCATACTGTGTCCCTTTGTCTCTTTCAGTGCGGTAATAACCTTAAGAACAATTTACAAGAGGAACGGATTTGAGTCACAGATTTGAAACTCAGTGACAGTGCTTCACAAATGACTATACATTCTGAGCAACATGTCAAGATTCAATTTAGCCTTCAGCCAAATTTTACTTCAAAACAAATTGGGGACAAGAAACGAAAGACCTCTGATAGAGCACATTCCTCAGTGTTTATAAAGTCCCAGATTCACTCCCTGGCATTTCTCCTCAAAGGTTTTCAGGTACTAAAATAGGAAAAGACCTCAGCCCCACCCTCTGTATGCTACTGCATGGAACCCTAATCTGAATTTGCACGGCAGCTCTGAAGCTATTCCTCCAGTAGGAATACAAATTGAAACTTTATGCCCCACCAAAAGATCAGCCAAACTGCTTCTTGTAGACTCTGCTCAGGAACCTGCTCAAATTGAAAGTCAGGCACATTCCTTCAGTATCTATTGCAGATTTTTACTGACAGATTAAGGTGCTTAATAGGTCAAGTCCTACACTAAGCAGGAGATGCTATGGCTCAGCTGTGTTAAGCCACAACTAATCCCCTTCAAGATGATCAATATTTTAAAGTGAGTTTACTGACTTTCATATAATTAAGCCCATGTCACTGTAAAATTTTAACTCACACCTTCATCAAATGAAGCTTTCAAGGAAGCTTTCAGCCTAATTCATATTTCCAAATAAAACTATTTAGGTGGTAATCATTTATTTAGTAACTGTAACTTTCTTATGAGGAAAGACTGAAAGAATGGGGCATGTATGGCCTTGAAAAAATAAGACTTAAGGAAGTTACAATAGCACTTTTCAAAAAAAAATTCAAATACATGAAAAGCAATCAAAGAGAGGAAGGGCAAGATCTGTTTTCTATCAACCCAGAAAGCAGGACATACAATAATGGGCTTGAGCTACAGAAAGTTCAGATTTAGGCTGAATATCAGGAAAATTGTCGTAACTGTTAAAGCAATGTGACAACAGAATCCATTACTTCGGGAGGTGGTGAGCTTGAGGCATTCAAGAGAACATTAGACAACCTTCTGCCAGATCTGCTTTGATTTGGATTCCTGCATTAAGCAGGGGGTTGGACTCAATGGCCTTATAAGCCCTTTCCAACTCCATTATTCTATGGTTTCCGATATCTCTTGGGTGGGGGGGAATCATCACTTTTTAGAGGTACTTAAAGCTTACTGTACAGATTTGACTTGATGTTCTAGGAGAAGAAAAGAGCAACATCATTCATTTTTTTAGGTAGTTGCCATTCCTTAATTCAATCTGCAAGCATTCAGAAGCCTGGCCAAGGGTGATAGATTGGGCAATTATGGGCAACAGATTTGCATTGCCTCACATCAACAACATTATTTGGGACATCATTGAAAGAAGTAGTAGGAAACCATTTCCTAAAGTCAGAAACCACCCACTGCAAGGAGGTAGATAATTCCTTCTCTTTCAGTTTGCTTGAGGGATGTATTGGTAAATCAACTGTGGTAGATCTAATTGAAAACTATGGTCCTTCACAGAAACTGTTCACAGGCTGTCCAGATGGAGTCTTCTGACTCCAGTATTGATCTAAATGGAAGAAGTAGGAAGATTATTCTCAGGGAATTGTTTTGTGCAGTGGTGTGGAAAACTACCTCCTCAAATTCTCCTATTTGTGGGTGGCGAAGATGTGGAGACTGCTTCTCTGCAAATGTTCTCCAGAGGGAAGAGAAATTCTCTGACAGTTTCGCAGACTTGGGGAAGCTCATCATTCGCAATGAAAGCCCAGACCCCATGCTGTACCTTCTACAAATGCCTTGAATGTAGTGTCATCCTAGGGCTTTGGAGTTGGGATGGAAATAAGGATTGAAAGACACTTCTGACATAGATAATTTTAAACAGTTATCTATAATTTACTTGTAGGAAAAAGTAAGAAAGTAGGAAAAACCACTGGGCTAATCAGGTATAATCTAAACCAAATCCCTTATGAATACACAGTGGAAGTGAAGAACAGATTTAAGGAACTAGATTTGATGGACAGAGTGCCTGAACAACTTTGGATGGAGGTTCGTAAGACTGTACAGGAGGCAGCAACAAAAACCATCCCAAAGAAAAGGAAATGCAAGAAAGCCAAGTGGCTGTCCAACGAGGCCTTACAAAGAGCAGAAAAGAGAAGGCAAACAAAATGCAAGGGAGATAAGGAAAGTTACAGAATGCAGACTTCCAAATAATAGCAAGGAGCGACAAGAGGGCCTCGATATGCAGATGATACCACTCTGATGGCAGAAAGTGAGGATGAATTAAAGAACCTCTTAATGAGGGTGAAAGAGGAGAGCGCAAAAATGGTCTGAAGCTCAACTTCACAAAAACTAAGATCATGGCCACTGGTCCCATCACATCCTGGCAAATAGATGTGGAAGATATGGAGGCAGTGACAGATTCTACTTTCTTGGGCTCCATGATCACTGCAGATGGTGACAACTGCCACGAAATTAACAGACGCCTGCTTCTTGGCAGGAAAGTGATGACAAACCTAGACAGCATCTTAAAAAGCAGAGACATCACCTTGCCGACAAAGGTCCGCATAGTCAAAGCTATGGTTTTTCCAGTAGCGATATATGGAAGTGAGAGCTGGACCATAAAGAAGGCTGACTGCCAAAGAATTGATGCTTTTGAATTGTGGTGCTGGAGGAGACTCTTGAGAGTTCCCTGGACTGCAAAGAGAACAAACCTATCCATTCTAAAGGAAATCAACCCTGAGTGCTCACTGGAAGGACAGATCCTGAAGCTGAGGCTCCAATACTTTGGCCATCTCATGAGAAGAGAAATCTCCCTGGAAAAGACCTTGATGTTGGAAAAATGTGAGGGCAAGAGGAGAAGGGGACAACAGAGGATGAGATGGTTGGACAGTGTCATTGAAACTACCAACATGAATTTAGCCAAACTCTGGGAGGCAATGGAAGACAGGAGGGCCTGGTGTGCTCTAGTCCAGTGGCTCTTAACCTTTGTTACTCGGATGTTTTTGAACTGCAACTCCCAGAAACCCCAGTCAGCACAGTTGGTGGTGAAGGCTTCTGGGAGTTGCAGTCCAAAACTCCTGAGTAACCCAAGGTTAAGAACCAGTGCTCTAGTCCATGGGGTCACAAAGAGTCGGAGACAACTTAACGACTAAACAACAACAAATAATTTACTTGAAAGCTGCAAACCTTAGGATGAATTCCCACAGAAATCAGTGGCACATTATCATTGAAATGTGCATCAAATGAAACTGAACAAGAGTACCCAGAGATGCTTCAGAGTTCATAGTTCTCCAACCCTACTTGGATTTCTACAACTTTATCAGAACCTAAAAATTTCAAAGCCTTGTTGAGAAACTCAGCAATATGTTGTGGACTAGGTTAACATTTCAGGTTTTTTTTTAAAAAAAAATCTCAGATGTCTTGGAACGAGTTGTATTCACGTTTTTAAACAGATGTTTCCATGTAGGTCATCTCCAGATTTTATATTAAACAGGCATTTGGAACAAATAGCCCAGTATGGAAATACGGTAAGTATAGTGCCAACTATAGCTCATGTCTTAGCAACTGAGCTTGCAGTTTGGCTCGGCTGCAGATTTATAAATCCTCTTGTCATGGGATCTCTCTCAGAGCTAGCCGTGCATTTCTTTCATTAGCTGCTAATCCAACAGTACAAAGATTTTACTTTTACTACCAACATTGCTTAGTGTCTAATTAGCTTGCCGCAAACACGCTATCCTTGTGCAGTGATGAAGGAAAGGATAATTTAAAAGCAATCAGTGTTTTCTGACTTCCCTGATTTTTAAGATGTAACATTGCCTTTTCAAGATAAAAGATGGCCAAGGATACTTAAGAGGAATTATTTCTAGAAAAATACATTTGAAGTTGGCTGAATAGCTCGGTGACTTAGGTATCTGGCTGCAGAGCCAAATGCTGAGAGCTCAATTCCCCACTTGGTCTCCTCGGAGAACAGCCAGCCTGTGGGGCTTTGAGCAAACTGTACAGTCCCTGGAGCGCCTCCAATAGAAGAGAATAGAAAGCTAACTTTTGTGTATATACCTAGAAAATCCTGAAAAGGGTCACCATAAGTCAGAATTGACTTAATGATACATCATTATCATTAAAAACAATTTGAAGGAGATAAACTAGAGAAATGAACAGAATTCCTCAATCATCCTAATTTGTTTTCTGTTATAGCTCTGTAATACATATCTTTTCTTAGAAGAAAGTGGAGATAGACTGCATGTTCCTTCACAATGTATGTTCTTATTTGATAATGGACCAAATCCTATTGGATATTTTGTATAAGCAGCATCATGGACATTGCTGCAGCTAACTGATAAGGTTTGGGGGTCTTGTATCAGGTACACACTCAGGTATGCTATAAGGCACATGAGTGAGATTGAGAATTACCTCATCAATTAGCTTTAGCAACTTCCACAATTCCTCTTGCAAGAATATAAATATGCAGCAGCATTTTTGCCAATGCATACTCAGCAAACTCCATCATTTACATCATTCTGATTTTTCCATATAATCTGAATACAACATTTGAAGTTTATTAGTCAGTACACTTCCCATAGCACACATAGCACAACATCACTTCACAGTAGCCATGCAAACATCTGTTCAAAAACATCAGAATTTTAGCAGTGTGCAAAAGTCTATTAAGAACTACCAGAGGTATGCTTTAAAACAACAACAAATGCTTAGCAACAGTAATATTTCTGGTACACCATGATTTGGTGTACAAGGTTTGAGCTGTAGTCCAACAGCAGAGCTAATCAAGTATTAAACAAGTATCAGCCATGACTCCAGAAGGAGACTAGCAGATAAAACAGCAAATAAGAGAGAAAACTAAACAGCTGCCTTTCACAGTTCATTTACAACGCACTGTAAAGATTCACATTCCTTCTTGTATGTAAGCAAGCTATCAGGGGAAAGGGGTTTATGGCGCAGCAACAGCAAAGTCATCCTAGTTGAAATCCTGTTGCCCAGCTCAGTATCAGCAGCAAATCACTGCTGATTAAAGACAATTTTGTTTATAGTTTAAAACATTTCTACACCACCTTTCTCCTTAAGGAGGACCCAATGCAGGTTACATGATTCAAAGACAGTATTTAAAGGTGGGGGGGGGGATAAGAGAGAGAGAACATTAAGTATGCAAATACTAAAATTGCTCAGATGAACACCACAGTAAAAGATGGTGAACAGAAACAACATCAAAATATATTCAAAGCAGTAAGGCACAAGAATCCATGTAAGAAGCCCACTGAGGCAGCCCTAGTCACTCAGGGAAAATCTGGCAGAAGAGAAAGGTCTTTGCCTGCTTATAGAAAGATAGCAAAGATGAAGCCTTCTGGGGTGCGTGCAACTCATACAGAGTGTGACAAAGCTGCATGTACCTCTAAATCCCAAAAGGAATCTTTAATCAGCAGTAATTTGCTGCTGCTATCTATCCTCACTATTGTGCATGTGGAGCTGCACAAGAGGATTTCAGCCGTTATGTGTGAACACCATAAATTCACAGCTGACCAGGAAGTGACACTCTTGTACAGCAGTGCCACTGGAAGAGTCAGCCAGGCGGTGGGTGTGTGTGTGCTTATCTAGCCTTTTTCTTTCACACAATCAGTTTTGTATCCTTGCCATATACTAATATCTTAGTAGCCAATGTACTGATTTATGGACATTCTGTGAAATCTTGAAGTGATCAGATTCAACAAGAATTTTTTTTTTAAAAAAAGAGAAAACATGCAAGTGAGCATCCCACATTAACAATGTTCTCAATCTGTATAGAAACATACTAGCTGAGGAGAGACAAGGAATATGTGGCTCTTTAAACAAAACATGATTCATAATTTGAATCACATTCTAGGTATTGTACACTTATTTCTCATTCTTTCTTCCTTGAGCAAACATTGTTAGGAGCATTTTGATGTCTGGTCCTGAGTTTACATGACATTATTTCTTCCAGAAACTTTCCAGCTGGGTAACAATCTGATGCAGCAAAAACAAGAGTGAGTCTTGGGTCATCTTAAGGACTAAAAAGTTTTGTTTGAAAATAAGTTTTGTAGAATACAGCCCACTGCATCAATTGACTTTGGAAAGAGCTTTGCTTTTAAAGTTTAGTACATTTGCTGACTCGTGCATTAATACTAAAATAGTGAAGTGAGGGTCGAATCAGACAGAGATTTGGCCCACATGGTCTGCTCTGGTGATGGGCTGGTTCACTTTCCCCAATAACCATGTGACATACAGGCCACTGTGAACCAGTCTGTCTCTGAACTCTGCCTGCCCAGACCTTTTGGGTCCCCATCAGTGGGTTTTTTGTTTTGTTTTGTTTTGTTTTGATACAGGAAGGACTGTTCCATTACAGTTCCATTCTGGCATATGTGATTGTTAGGATCACACAAGGAAGCAGATATTTTAAGCTGTCCCTTTGCTGAAACCACTTGATAATATACGTATAAGGAAATTGAAAACTTCCTCCTGCTCCCCTAGGAAGGGGGAGAAAGAGGAATCAAAGGATTGGGTTTTTTCCCCCAAAGCCCTAAAATAGTGATGATGTGATATGCCACTTAGGAAAAAGAAAAGTGAAAGCTTCCTCTCTCCTCCACAGGGGAGCTGGGGGAAGCTTTCAATTCCCATCAATTGTGAAGTGGCTTAACAACAGAGGACAATTCATGAAGGAACAGGGATGTAGCTTTTGTTGTTGTTGTTTTTTATTTAAAGGGAAAGAAGACCTAAGCAGTGTCATTTGAGGTGCAGAGTGATTGACACTTGCATATGGAAGCAAGGATTGCCACAAATAATGTACTACACCTCAAAGTGGCCATGTTTAGCATGACCCATCCTAATCCAGGATGTAATAAATTGTCTTTGTAATCAAACCCTCAGTTTACAGTTATGAAGAATAAAATTATAAACTGAGTGAAGTAATAAAACATTTTGCAATAAAAATGTTCAAATATTCTGTCCCCATGGGGCTGGACTGTCCAATCACCATTTTACCGCTGACACGAGCTCGGCAGAGCCTTCCTATCGCACCGTTGTCCGCAATCGATTACCCACTCCTGGCAGGAGGCGGGATGACAAGCCTCTCTGCCAGGTCGCAGAGCAACTAAACCATTGCGGACATCGGCGCAATAGGAAGGCTCTGCCGAGCTTGTGTCAGCGGTAAAATGGTGATTGGACAGTGGACCCTCGTCATTTCCACCTGTGGGGGGATATTCATATTCGTATACAAATACGAATATCCCCATCTCTACTTCTGATACATTTTACAATGACTATGATCTACTGGGAGCTCAATTTGGAAAAGAGGAGTAAAAATGTGGGATGTGGGATTCAAAAGACAGCTGAATATTTTGAATAAAATGCTATTTAAAATGTGTGTTTTTGAAAATGCAACTTCCACACTGGCCAAATCCGTATAATATAATTACGACTCTTCATACATCAAGGATAAACACATAGAACAGCTTTCCACAGGCTTTTTAAACTAGCAACTAAGAGCAGGAAGGTTTTTTCCCAAGCCAGCTAAGAAAGCAATGCATTTATTGATGCAAACCAGAGACAGTCCAACTGGGCTACATTTTTATTAAGTGACTGAAAACACAAAAGGAACAAAATTATGAAGAGGGGAAGATTTAGTCATTGGCTGCTTTACTTGCTTAATTCTGACCAAAAAAATTCTGTTAGTTGGCCAAAACAGTTAGTCAATGTTATTTCCTCAGCCATATAAAACGACACATTTAACGACCAAAAATAACTTGCAAAAACTTACTCTCACATTACTGTGGCCAACTATCCTTAATGATGTATTGCTCAAAGCTGTTTTCCTGTAAGTGTTGCAGAATGATTCAACAACATCTCTACTCCAAGTTTGAAGACATCTAGCCGTATGCTTATAGTGCACTGAAGGCTTTGCTCTTTAGAGAACTACATTAATAATCACACAAAGTCCTTACAAGGAGGGTCTTCCATACAAGAATAAAGTACAATCATACCATACTTCGATTCCTGACATTTTTAGCTTACTGTATACTGGTTTCAAAACACAAATGTGAGCTGCCAATGTGGGATCATTAATAAAAATTCCAAACCACTCTAATAATATTTCCACAAACTACGTTACACTTCACTCCTCCTATTCAGAAGCCTATACAGGCTGCGGCCCATGGCAGCACTGAAGGCAGCTTGTGATTGTAAAGCTACGTGATTTGCTCTTAAACTGGGGAGAGGGACAGAATGCCAGGCAAATGGAGTTGTTGAGTTTTGACAAATCTGATTGAATGTAGCACCAACGGGGGGAAATTATCTCCAACCTATGCTCAAAATGTACCTTGTTTACTAAATCAGATCTGAAAATACTGAAGCGGTAGGTAAAATGCTGACAACCCTACTTTTACATCAAATGCAGCTCACTAGCCACCTATGGTAGTGTGCCACATAATGAGCACAATACCTCTCCTCTCTCCTTGAAATCTTAGGTGTGCTGAAGAACAAATTTCATGAACCTCAAGGGGACCATCTCATTACTGCAGTCATAAGTCCCAACACAAGCTCATTACAACACTGAATCTTCCTACTCCAGGTTAGGTCCTATGTCAGATTTTAGTGTGGTTTTCGTTGCAGAGGTAGCAAAGAATGACAACATAAAGCCAATAAAGTATCAGCCCAACGACATGTTTATGACAACTTTTCACCACTGAAAATCTATGTAATAGCTGTTCTGAGGAAATACAGAAATTTAGGCAGGGACTAGTTCTAAAATATACTGAAGTCGGAATGCTGATTTACTGTTTTGTGCACTGAAACAAAACTCTTAGGTGGAATCACTCAAATCCACATCATTTTAATTAGGGAATTCAGATTTAGAAAAATGACAATGCTCTGGTTCTAAATGCACATAGATTTTCCCTGAACATGATTCTTTCTTCTTTGTAAAAACAAAGATATGATAAAAATCTAATGGAGACTGCCAGTAACTGTCTCTCGCCTTGCCAGGTAATCGAGAAAATTTCTGTTTCTGTTTGTGAGTAGTCAATAAAACTGTCATAAAAAGAATAAATACTCTAGGTGAAGAACTGGGATATATTTATACTTATCAGGATAGAAAAACAGTGAGTATTAAACTCTGGAGTATCTACCACTGAGACTGTTCAATCTTTGAGGTGTGAACCATAGATGAGTAAGTATATTTATGTTTTTTTCAGAAAGCTAACTGTCTGTTTCATTATGCCTATGATGCAAGTATCACACAAGTTAAAAAGAAAGCAGGTGTGCTCATACAGTAAACCACAGTCAGAGCCATATGTAGGTAGAGAAAATGAGGAGTTCGCATTTCTAAAACCAGGTTTCAGCGTTCAGCCTGACTTTGACTGAAGGCTGACAGCCACTAATATAAACTATTTTAGTTTTATCTGTCATTATTTTCATAAAGGCAGCACAAGCCTTCTATGGTCTATTTTTCACCAAATTCTGATCTATTTTGCATGAAGTGCCTTCATGCAAGCAAACATTTCAGATGTATGTAGTACCTTCTATGAAATCATTTTCATTGTAAAGCTGTCTCTCTCCTATTCCATCATCTTCATCTTGACCATCTTCGTCATCTGGATTATTTATTACCTCTAGGCCAGCCTCAATTACTTCCACCAATTCATCTCGCTTGTCTTTTCTAACAGGTTTCTCCTCTGGATGTCGTGTAAGGCCCATCTCCAGCTGGAACACTTTCATGGAGGTAAAGCTCTCAAAAGGAATGACTCCATATTCACTAGGCAGTTTGGCCCCCATACTGACTTCAGCTTTGTCTATTTGAGAATGTAGATATTCTAGGAGATCATTGGGCGCTTGTTCTTTCGTGCCTTGGTAGCCCATGCTGTTGACTTTGGGGCTTTTCTTTTCCTGTAACAATTTCAACTTATCACTCATCTCCTGAAGCTCCTGCTTTAACTGGGCAATCTGTCGCTTGAGGCTCATCGCCCTGGTTTGGTAATGCTCTTCCTGCTCCTGCAGGAGGGCTTGGTAGTGTTCCTTACCAAAATTCTCCCCTAACACGCCAGGAAGTGATCCATTGCTATCGGTTTGTGGAGCACATTCAAGAAGGTACATGATCAGCAGCAAACTCAACAGTAAAGCAAGTCCAATCAAAAGCCATCGAGTCCTGGCTTGAAACATTAAGCCTCTTCTAGGCATTCTTGGAACACTTTCGCTCAACTCCAGCTGAAGCAGCTGATATTTTTGGCCATGCTTTGCTAGTAGTATCTGAAGGAAGCCATAGTTTTAAAGCAGAACTAAAACAAATTTCTGAACTGTTACATCCATGTGTCTATGTTTATGTGCATGCCCCCACATGTGCACATTGAGTGGGATTCTTTCAAGAGCTCTCTTGTTCAAGCAACTGTTGTCGTTCTCTGTCCCAAATCCCAGTACTATTACCACATCCATTACTACAAGCAAGTACAGTCTAAACTGTCAGGTACTGTCCCAAATGTATCCAAAGCAGTTTGTTTAAACACATCTGGAAGTTACAAACAATTCATTATGATGTTGCTTTCCACAGCCAACCAGCGGAAAATGCACTGACTTCTGAGAAATATAAAATGAAAAGGTTTTCAGCTTTTGGATGCTATTATAGGCATGGGCCATTTTCTGACTCATAGGCATCAGTAGAAGCCACAAAAGCCATCAGTATCTCAGCAAGAGTAATTTTCACTGGGCGGCTTGGTTGTGTGATACTTTCCTCTGACATTTGTGCTTCTCTTTCTCACCCTTCCTGGAAGTCTGTGATCCGAGTCAGCAAAATTAAGAAAGACCCTAAAATTAAAAGGAAATTACATTTGGTTAGTACTACAAAGCAACCAGACATCTGGAAAGCAGATAAAAGCTAGTTTTAATATCTTAAAAATGTACACATGATGAATGACGAATTTTATTCTTTGTGCTGATCCAGGACAGGGGACGGTTGTAAAGTCTCAGTTCTTTCTACTGGGTTATGCATCAGTGATTTCTCTCTTATAGAAATGTCTGAAATAGGTTCATCCAAACAGCTAAATAAAATAAAACCAGCTTTTTCAACCTCTCAATTAGGCAGCCAGACTCTTTTTCCCTGCATTTTTGGAAAGCACTATAGCCCGTATTCTATAAAATAACACATGCATTAAGAAGTTACTGAATTTAGCTTCTACTTCCAGTTACACTTTCTATGGTCTTGCAGGATTGTCTATCCTCTTTTTTGGAGGAAAAAAAATGGTTTTTGCAGCACATCCATAAATCAATTCAGAGACAGAGAGAGAGAGAGACAAAAAGAAAGAGTGAGGGGAAGAGGGAGAGAGAGAAAAGTAGTAAGTGCTATAAATTACGAGGCACCATCTCAACTTGCAGGAGAGATGAAGAGTCCCCACCCCCAGATGGTCCAGCCCCCAGACTAGAAAATACCAACCCAACAATCATTGGTCTCACTGGGGTGTTGACAAGAGGAGAAGAAAGTTTGGCCATGAGTAATGTAGGAAGCAGCTAGGACAGAACTTGTACATAAATTAATAGCAGGGAGACAGGTTGCCCTAAGAGCCAGAATGCCATTCATCATGGGCCGAAAGGGCCCGAAATGACTAGGCACAATTCAAAACTAACAAGTTGAACAATAGTATATACTTTGGAATGAGACTACCCTTCCAACACTCTTCCAGCTCCTGACTGGGGAAGGTTGCTAAAGATCACAGCACATAACAATACACTCTAATGTTTGCACTGACATTCAGTGCAATAATTCATGTCAAAAGTAGTTTGACCACCAGTCACCTATGTGCACCTGCAAATCTAACGATAACTCTTAGAGTTATGTCTTAGAATTGGAGTCATCCCCTACCCCATGCTATGTTTGCTAAGGCTTACGGAAATATGCCATCAATTCTCTGACCAGGATGAAACATTCTTTTAAAAGCAGACATCAGGTTCTTGATATATTGTAAGCAGTGACAAATGTGAAAGAATATGTGCTCGTGATAACAGTTTCCATAAGAGTGTCTCAAAATGAAGGCAGCTGGCTCAGTCACATCAACAAATAAGGAGGAAGTCTTTTGGAAAGCCAACAGCTCTTACAGTGTCCATATAAAACCATAAAACTCTCAAAATGTTTTGCCTTAGAACATGGATAGCCTGCAACAATATACTTATAATGGGAAAACCAACCTCCCTCCCAGCAACTATGAAGACTACAGATAAATTCAAAACAGCATATAAGTTTAGAGGTGGGTGGTTATCAGTGGATAATGTCATAGCCTAATCAAGTCTCAGAGCTTTGACCCTACAAGCTCTGCCTCCATATATATACACTATAGACCAGGGATCTCAAACATGCGACCCGGGGGCCATTTGCGGCCCGCTGGATGAGTTTGTGGCCCCCGCCTTTCCTCCCCCCCCGAAGCACCCTTCGTCTCCTCTGCTGTCAAGAGTCAAAAAAGCGTTGCCTCGCTCACCGGCTCTCTCCCAAGACAGTGCCTCTTGCACCCTCCATCCAGAACTGCAGCCTGCCAGCCAGCCTGCCTGTCTGCCGGCCAGCAGGCTGCATTTCCGATGGAGGGTGCAAGGGGCGCTGTCTTGGGAGAGAGCCGGTGAGCAAGGTGCACTGCCAGCCCTTTTCCCCCGAGCGTCCAAGCCGCCGCTGAATGATGCCTGAGAGTGCCTCCAAGCCGCCAACAGCAGCTGCCACCGCTGCCGCCTCTTCCAGGGAAGTGCCTCTCTGGCCCTCTTTCTCTCTCGGCACCCCTAACACCAGCCCAGCCAGCAGTTGCCTCACCACCCGGTGGTGCTTCCTCCTCCTCGTCCTGCTTCAGCCACCTCAGCTCTGGAGGCTGCCTGGGCTCGCCTCGCAAAGTTTGCTCCGCTGTCGTGGTGGGGGTAGCTGCTGCTGCTGAGTGTGCCTTTTTT